GGTCCATATCTCCCTTTGGAATTGCAGGTAGAGAATATCAACACTGTCAAAGAAAAGAAGAAAAGAAAACATAATCGTGGGGGTAATTATGGTATTAATTCACAATTAGCAAATGTGTAATAATTAAGGACTTGCAATAGGGACCACGATATTTCTATTTGCGAAAATTGAAGAAGAAGAAGAAGAAGAAGAAAGAGGAGGAGGAGGCGGGGAAGAAGAAGAAGGGAAAGAAAAAGAAGAAAGAGGAGGAGGCGGGAAAGAAGAAAAAGAATGAATGAATGTTGTAAGTGATTTGGAACGAACATGGGATGAAAAAATAAGAGACAAAAAAATTATGGAAAGAAGTCAACATTGACAAAAGGTTACAAGGAAAAATGGCATCGTAAAATAATGGTAAGAAATGGAAGCGGCATGAAAGAAATTTGACATGAAAGACAAAAAAAAAAAAAAGAAATAGCTGAAAAAGAAAACTGTCCTTTGAATATGGCTGCCGTATCTAAATGCCTGGGTTATTTTTTCTGTCCAGAAAATCGAAGAAACAACTCAACATTCAGAAAGTTTCATCTTTCGCTCTGTAGTTACGAAAATTCGTTCGTACGAAGGGGAAAAATAGAAGAGACATCTGATTAGACGCTGTAATAACAGAGTTTGATAAGGAGGATCATTGTTGTTGCAGTGGTACTAACTATTGTTCCCGGCGTAGAGGCGTTTTTGTTTACATGACGAAAAATACTAGTCTTAGACTAAATCGGAAAGAATTATCCGGTGTTTACTGATTCGGAAAGTATCCCGCGCAAAACAAACAAAAAAAAAAATTATATTCGATAACAGTAAATTCTTTTCAGTTCAGAAAGTTTTTTTTTTTTTGTCAATACGAGAATGATAAAAAATTTAAATAATTCCCTACTGTTCTCGGAATCTAAATTTACCCCAAACATTAAAAGTTTAAGAAAATCTAAACAGACACCAACCTTGTTCAGGGAATTGTCTTGCGATTGTCAAATAGGATTCTGCCTATTGGTTATTGGATAGATAAAGTGTAGATTAAACAGGTCAGAGGTCAAGAAGTTGACTACTGATCACGTGTCGTAAAACAAAACAACACAAAAGGAATAAAATGATAAATAAAACGCTAAATATAAATTTTGTTGCGTAGCGTTACCTACATGTGGGAAGTAGTATATTATTATTATTTACCCGCTTCCCCACGCAGCAAGATGTGGCACAAGGCCGAGTTTAAAGTGGGGTATCCGAGCCCGTAGGCTCGGGCAAAAATTCCCTAGACCACGTAAAAACGGGGTCAGTTTCCCGAGACGAGACTCCGCCCTTCGGCAGAGCCTCGTCTGGGGAATACCCTCTGACATAAGCCAGGTATACCTACACACCAGGAAAGTATAGGAGGTAGTATGCACTCAACAGCCGTATGAATTCATATGTAAATGGGTCCCTTCATCTACCTGTATTGAAGAGGTTTTATTCCTTTATTTTCCTTGCTATTTCTTCTGGGAGATTTTGTCTCCTCACTATCTTCCTCCGTCTCCCTAAGAAATTATCTAGATATGGGAGATCGTAATCTTTTTTTCAATATTCAAGTAGTTCAATTCAGCTTTTGACAATTTATCGAAAGATACATAATACGATGACCATCCTAAGCTTGATTGTTCACTCGCGTTAGTTGTTGTTACTGTTCCCTTTCTAGGACTGAATATTTTTACTGCTGGCTTCTTTATCAGAACAGCTTTTAAAATTCCCCTTGTTCTTTTGTCCAAATAAATTCCACATTCTAAGGTCTAAGTATCGTCTGTAGAAATTTACAAGTCCTAACAAATTTCATACAAGAATTAATGGAAATAAATGTGGCCTCAGAAGGGCACTACTTTAAAGGAGATTAAATGCCGAAGTCATACGTGACAGTTCAGCAATCTTTTCCTTGTTTTCAACGAAAGTTTTCTGTCTCTTAACTACTGAGTCATATAAAATCTTCCCGACTTTACCGAATAATGTGACGTCGAAAAAGAAAAGAGAATAAAAAGGAGATTTCATTTAGATTTTGGGGATGAGGAGCTGATGGTATTTACATTCGTCCTTATCTTTGTTGTTATTATGAAAACGTTTCGGCCGTTGTGCTCTTAGGCTTTCTTTCGGAGTTTGTCGATTTGATTAACTTTAAGGGATTTTCCAACTGATCCCTTTCCGGCTGAGCTTTTTATTTAATCTACGGTCGTAGAATGTTCCTTTCCATTTCGCCTTTGTCGTATTTAGTGCCAAAAAACAAAACAAAAAAACAAAAAACAAAAACAAAAAAACAACTAAACTATCGATTTTCAATACATCGATTATCCGAAGTCTCGATTATCTGGCATTCGATTATACGGTGTTCGATTATCCGGACGTGAAATGGTAATATTTCCAGACCAACGATATTCTACGTTTTACTTTCAACACTTCCAGGGACACTGAGAAATAAACAGCACTTACCTGGCGAGCTTGAGTAAATTATGGCGAAGCGAAGTTTGGGAGCAATAGCATAAAGGCAAAATTCATTAAGAGCTACGAATGGATGGTAGAACACGGTTTAGGAGAGAAAACGGATAAAACTTATTAAGAGCTACGAAGGAAAGGAAATTGTGGAGGGCCATAATCCCGTAAGTCCTGAAGTGACATGGCACACAGAAGACGAAGAACAAGCTTGAGTAAGTAGATGGTGGAACAAGGTTTAGGAGAGATAACAAATGACAACATTTATTAAGAGACAGGAAATTGTGGAGAGCCATGGTCACTTGCGTCTTGAAGGGACACGGCAAAAGAAGAACGAGCTAGAGTAAATGGATGGCGTGACAAGGTCTAGGCGAGATAACAAAAAGACAATATTTACTAAGACCTACGAAAGACAGGAAATTGGGGAGAGTCATGATCGCTAAGATGCTGAAGAGATATGGTACATAGAAGAAAGATCTTGTGCAAATGGGCGGCGGAACAGGATTTGTTTCGCCATCCATTTGCTTTAGCTCAAGGAGAAATAACAAAAAGACAAAATTTATTAAGAGTTACGAAAGAGAGGAAATTGTGGAGAGCCATGATCGCTTAGATTTTGAAGAGATACGACATATAGAAGAAATAGAACGAGTTTGAGTAAATAGATGGTGGAACATGGTTTAGCAGAGATAACAAAAACATAAAATTTATTAAGAGCTATGAAAGACAGGATATTGTGGAGAGCCATGATCGCCAACATTCTGAAGGGACTAGGCTGGTTAAAAAAGAAGAATTTTAAAGAGTAAAAGAAAGACATTACTTACTGTCGTCGTTTGAGAATTTGTTCCTGGGAAGATTGTCTGTTGAAAAAAAGAAAATTTACAATTACGAACCAATGATTAAAAGCAAAACCCAAAAAGGTAAAGCGAATAAAAATATTATTTTGTGTAGTTAAAAAAAATAAAAAAAAATAAAAAGAACTGCCAATATAATCATAACTGAAATATATATAACACACAAACATATATATATATAAGTTGTTACGAACAAACAAGTAAGGTGGTGAACAAGGATGGTTAACTATCTTTGTTCACCACCTGATGAGATGCTTATGTTTAGGCATCAAAACAAATAAACATCTTTGTAGTGATTACTTGTTTGTCCGTATCTAACAATTTATAATAAAAATCTATTGCTCTACTTTTGGTAATGAGCACTCTTTTAAATTAATGTTATGAACGTTTGAATTTATATTCTTTTCGTTCTCATTACATTTGGACACACACACACACACACACACACACACACACACACACACACACACACACACATATATATATATATATATTAAAAAGAAGATAACCCGAAAACGTTTTTGGTTGAAATGTGATTTTTTTTTATTTGAAAATATATATTATACTCTATTTTCCATAATATAGAAAATAGAGTATAATATATATACAGTGTAACCCGGATATAAGAGAGTTCGCGGGACCTGAGAAGAAGTCTCTTATATCCGGGTTTCTCTTATATCCGGGTTTGGTCTATTTTATATACATTAACACAGGCTCTAATTTGGGACCAGAGAAATCTCTCTTATATCCGGGTTTCTCTTATATCCGGGTCTCTTATATCCGGGTTACACTGTATATATATATATTAAAATAAAAAAATCCACATTTCAACCAAAAACGTTTGCAGCTTATCTTCTTTTTAAAATATACACTTTTCTCCCGTTAGACCAACCATAACCTCTTCCCTATATATATATGACGGACAACCTATATATATATATATATATATATATATATATATATATATATATATATATATATCCGATACCTGATCAAAAAGTATCAGGACCGTTACTATGGTAACGGAGCTAAAATACACAGAGTGACGCCGTTTAGCACAGAAAGGCCTTTCACTCTGTTCTGCATACACACTCAGTTATAACGTTCTAGCTCACTTCTGTTGTTTATAACAGTAATTGGAAGGGAAATGTTTAGAGTGTGGTCGTCTCATTACACCACATATGTTTCATCAGTGGCTGCAAGGTCATTTTGAGCCATACCTATTGCTACATTCTTCAATATGGAGAAGAACTTCAGAAAATAGAACTTGTTTCTTTTTGGGGCATTTATCTCTCTTGATTCTATACCTGAAATAAATAGCGAAGATCAGTCTGATATGTTTACGCCAAACGTAACCACATCATAAGTAGAAAATAAAACAAATAAAAGAATAAAAAAATTTGTTTTTAGTTTAGTTTATGCTAAATTACTCACCGAAATGTCTTTTTCGAATCCGACACCATTACAGTTTTAGGCGTATAAAGAAAAAAGTCTAAAAAATGGTGGATACTGTTTTACAAGCAGTTGAGAACGCTTTTCGTTGAGCCAACTTAATTCATTAATGAAGCCACCGTCACGTACAACTCACAGAGAGAGAGAGAGAGAGAGAGAGAGAGAGAGAAACAAGAATACTTACAAAAATGCAACGCAAATGTAAAAACAAAATTGGAATCAAAGAAGAAATTTAAAAGGATAAAAGAAATAATCACTAAAAGAAAGAATAAAAGAGAAATTAAAAGAATGAAGTAACGAAGAAAAGAAAGAGTAAAAAAAGAATAAAACAAATAGCGAACGATGAAAAGAATGAAAGCTAGATAAAAAAAAAGAAATAACGGAGAAAAAATATAATAATATAAAAAAAAGAGCGAGTAAAGGAATGAGTAAAAGAAAGAATAAAAGAGAATAAATGAAAAAAGAATGAAAAAGTAAAGGACAAATAAAAGAGAGAATAAAACGTATAAAATAAAGAGCAAGTAAAAGAATAAGTAAAAGAAAGAATAAAAGAGAAATAATGAATGAAAAAGTAAAGAACCAACAAAAGAGAGAATAAAACGTATAACAGAAAGAACGAGTAAAGGAATGAGTAAAAGAAAAAATAAAAGAGAAATAACGAAGAAAAGAAAGAATAAGAAAGAATAAACGAATTAATGAATGAAAGGAAGAATGAAAGACTAAATGACGAATCGAAGAAGGAATAAAAAGAACACAAAAAATAATGAATAAAAGAAAGAATAAAAAAGAAGTAACGAATAAAATATTACAAGAAAGGAAATACTGATAGGAATGGTTATTTAAAAAAAAAACAATCGAGTGAAAGACGAAATTAACGGAAGTTCAGAAATCAAGAATAAAAAAAACAAATATAAGAAGAAATACAAAAAAGAAGAAAAATGTAGAAGTAAAAAACAACGATGTCAAAGAAAGAATGAAGAGATTAAGAGAGAAATCAAATCATTAAGGAATCAAGGACCAAAAAAAACATAAACATAAAATAAAATATATTTGGTCAACCATTTGTCGAATGAAGCAAGGGAAGAAACCGGAAGCGGATGACAACGCATTCAAATTCTTTTTTTTTTGCGTAAAATGTAGCGAATTTATCCGCCATTCATTTTTTTTTTTTTAAGTAATAGTAACGTAGAACATTCTGTTGAACTCATTTTACCGGAAACAGAAAGTCGCGTTTGTGTAAAAAACAAAAAAAAAACATTCCACTTCCAGAGTGTTGTTGATTTCAACAAGCTAAAATACAGGGTGGTCCGAAAGTCTTGTCACTACTGCATAATATCATTTTCTATTTCAGCTGGCTGACACGAATTTGGAATAGAGGGTTAGCGTGACAAGACTTTCGGACCACCCTGTCAGTAAGAATGTTTCATACTCTATGGGCATTTTCTTCTTGGCGTTCCGTAGAGGAATGAATTTTCAATGAATTTACAGAGTGGTCCAAATGTTTTGTCACCCATAAATCATATAACTTTCTATTTCAGCCGGCTGACATGAGCTGCTACAGTTTGGAAGAGAGGATTAGGATGACAACACTTTCGGACCACTCTGTACTTTTATTTGAGAAACTAAGTCCACTGAACGCACACGTACATCCTTCTTTCTCGGCTATATCGCATTGAAACAATGGTTCCCTAGAATCACCGCAGTTAAGCAAAGTCAAGCCCGATCAGTACCTAAATGGGTGACGGAGATGAGGTTATTTAATGCCAGAAAATATTTTTAGACAGTAAGAATTTTTTAAACGATAATAATGGTTTAGTGATATACGTTTTACTAATTAATCCATAGGTGGGGAGAAGACATACGTTCATACCTTTCCCAAATCTATTTGCGCCTAAGTGAATATAACGAACCCAACGGGAATTCGAACTCGGTAATCCGATTAACAGTTCCAAGCCATTATCCATCACGTTGAAACACCGGTTATCTTACGGTCACTGAAGTTAAGCAACACCGAATCTAGTTAGTACCTAGATGGGTGACCACATGGGAATACCAGGTCCTGTAAGCTTGGATATACTAGTGGTATAAAGATCTTATGGCCACACTAACTTAAAGAACCTGTTCCCGTACGATCATAGAAGTTAAGCATCGTCGAACCTGGTCAGGATCTAGATGCGTGATGGCTTCGGAATACCAAGTGCTGTAAGATTGGATGTGCGGATGGTGAAATGAATTCGGGATTGGAAATCGGAGAGCTCCAATTCCAGACGGCTTCTTTACATTCATTTACGCGCAAATACCCTTAGGGAAAGATATGAATCCACCTCTCGTTCCGTCAGCAATGGGCTAATTTGTATCACTAAATGATTATTATCTCAAAAAAAAAAAAGAAAGAAAAATGAAGAATCTTGCAATCTTAAAATATTTTTCAGCTTTAAATAGCCTTCAAAGGGTTGATAAGATTAAAAAAAAATCTAATCTACCACTTCAAATCATAAATGTAGCAGGAAGTTCTTCGATGCGTGCTATATATTTTTTTGACCCCCTTATGATTTACACCCCTGTCATTTTCTGACATTGAATTTGTGAGACTAATTTATAACCTTTGGGAATTTTGATTTCGGGATCTGAATTTCCCCATTACACCACCCGCATATCAAAGACTAAAGCATCTGGCATTCCAAAATGGTTACCTGTCTGGTAACCATCAGGCTCAAGGTTGCTTAACACTTCGGCTGCTAACTACGGAGATGTTCGTTTTTCTCATCTTGCTCCAACTGGCTAAGTACGGAAACCTACGTTTTTTTGCATACCGCTGGTATGAGTGTCCCGTTGCGCCATCTATCGTAAAATCACAAAGGACAATGATTCAAAAGATATCATGTGTATACCCATTACTGGGAAGTAATTCCCAGGTATATCCATGAAAATGATCTGGGAAGTCATTCCCAGGTATATCCATGAAAATGGAATGCTGTAAAACACACTGGTGCCAGTTTTCTGTGTTATAAAATATGTAGGTTGAAATTTGGCATTTTCTTTCAAAATGGCTGGCCGGATGGGGGCAGCACTGGGCAAATGAGTAGCAGTGAAAGTGTTAACTTCGGTGATCGTACAAGAACCGATGTTTCAACGTTATATTCCCGTAGGCATATTATGCCACACACTCTTCAAATCTTACAGCACCCGGTAATTCTCAAGCGTTCACCCATCTAGGTACTGACTGGGATCGACGTTGCTTAAATGTGGTGATCGTACGGGAGCCGGTGTTTCAACGTGATATGCTCGTAAGCCCATTATGCCACCCGCACATCCAAACTAACAGCACCCGTTATTCCCAACTGGTCATCCATCTACGTTCTGATTAGGCTCGATGTTGCTTAACTTCGGTGATCGTACAGGAACCGGTGTTTCAACGTGATATGCCCGTAAGTACATACCCGCCCGCATATCCAAGCTTACAGCACCCGTTATTCCCAAACGGTCACCTATCTAGGCTCAACGAGGCTTAAACTTCGGTGACCGTACGAGAACGGGTGTTTCAACGTGATATGTTCATAAACCCAGATGATCTGCGAATAACTCTCCAGAATAGAATTAATTTCAAGAGCACTATAAACAATGGCAGTTATCACAGTGAATTAGTAACCATTGCGGAAGGCGAGAACATCTGCCTGGAATAAAAGTAATCAGACTATTGTGTGCAATAGCCTTATCAATCTTTGTGTTTGCCTTTGAATCTTGGAGATTAAGACAAGAATTACAGCGAAGAAGTGAGATATTAGAAAAGAGATGTTAAAGTACCATCCTGTACAGCTTCTTCGTTGTCCACGTCCCAAATGGGGTCCTGGGTATTACGATAAGCTATATCCAGCAGCAAATACTCTGTTTATAAGGTTTTGAGGATCCTGGAACCACCTCTTAATTGATGTTGTTCCCAGATCCACCCTGTTAGGGTCCCAGCTATGACCAAATAGTTAACCCCAAACTGAGGTCAAAACAGCATGGAAGTGTAAAATAAATTTTTATAATAAAAATACCAGTTAGACATTTTCACAGTAAAAATACCAGCAATACATGTATGTAAAAAAATACATTTTTGTAAAAGAAAATACCCTAATGGCCCTAAGAAAATTAAATTTCGGCATTAAATGACCCATAAGGTGTTGATATACCGCTAAACAAAGAAATATCCCAAATGATGCAGTGTGAGACACCATAAGACGATAACTCGATGGTGAACGATCGAGTTATCGTCTTATGGTGTCTTATGGCTAGTAGTGTCTATCCCAGAATTCTCACTTTGGTCAAAAGCCATCGATAAGAGAGAGAGAGAAGCTTGCCAGTCTTAAAATAGGCGAATTTCAATCATTCTTGGATGCAATGTATGTTTTTGTCGTAATTTAATTCATTTTTTCTCCTGATTCTGTTCAATGTCTTGCTACTTTTTACTTGAACGTTTATTTATATTTTTTTTACTATATTATATATATATATATATATATATAATAAATATATTAAATATTTATTAAATGTTGCAACCTTAATCAAATTTACATTAAACGATTTATACGAACTCACTTATATATATATATATATATATATATATATATATATATATATATATATATATATATGAGTTATACTAAATCGTGTTAATGTAAATTTGACTAATATTTAATAAAGTTTTTCGCTTTGGTAGTTATTACTGGGGATTTGCAAAAACAGTTTGAAAGAGTTGGTATTCTGACTTATACTAAGTTAAATCTTAATTATTTTATTTTATATTCTATTTTTTCACCCCCACAAACTCCGGACCACAGGTACGTATACATGTTTGTTCTGGAGTATCTGTATGCCGCAGATCGACACTCCAAATAAGTTATCTGAAAGAAAGCTCATTCCTTGAAATAATTTACAAATAATCAAACCCGGGATTGTTTTCTTTTATTTTTCTTAATAGGAGTAAATAGGCTCTCCTATCGTCCATTCCATACAACTCCCCGTTCTCTTGAATAGGAATAGAGGTTCAGCTCTATTTTCCTGTTTCGGAAGTGATTCCAAGTTCCTTTCCTTTTCTCAGGTCTTAGTAGTGGGGCTGTCATGAATTTCTTGTGATATGCGTAGATGGTGGCAGCGTCTAATCATATTCAGGGTACCGGGTTAGCAGTTTTCTGGTTGCTGTTCTTGACTGGTAGTTAGGAGCCCGAACTCTTGTATAGCGTTTAGAGATGCTGTTCTGATCAACAGTCGCATATTATCAAGGTTCTTGCAGTGCCCCATGGAAGTGTATCCTTGCAAGCACCTCTTTTATGAAAAGCATCCGTGCTTGTCAGTAGTAAAGACCGTCCTGGGTATGATGATAAACTACACCCGGCAGCAAGGCCTCTGATAGCTTTTGGGGAGGATGGAACAACCACTTAATCGACTGTAGCTTTTGAGGAGCATGGAACTTCTTAATTGATGCTTTTCCCAGGTTCTGCCTGACTCCGTGTGGTAGCATCCATGGGCAAATAGTGAAGCCACAAACGAAAACAAAACACCAGGAAAGTATAAAATATATTCAAATTACCAGCAATACAATTTTAAAGCAAAATGACCAGCAATATATTTTATCAATAGTTGAAGACATATAATTACGTTTAAAAGATATATAATTGAAATGTGATAAAATTGTTTTCGAAATATTTAGATTTCGGCATTAAATAACCCAGAGTGTTTGATATGAGGGTAAACAAAATCATGCAAACCAATCAATAGTAAAGATGTACAGAGTAAGAAGAACAGAAAAAAAAGGGAACTTGGTTAGTATGTTCTACCCCAAATGCCGTATTCATCTGACCTTGTACCAGACGATTATTACATTAAATTACGTTGGAAATCGCTTTGATATGGATAACTTTCTTTCATGAAAACCAGATTCAAGAGTCAAAACTCTTCAAAAACCGAATTTCATTCAAAAGATATCGAACAGTTCGCTGATAAGTGGCAACAAGTCACTGCAAATAATGGTGAATTTATAAAGGAATCAAATGCGATTTGACCTCATTATTGGAAGAATGAAACTGATAAAGAAAAACGGAAATTTATTGTGTAATTATAAAGTAATTTTAAGTTTAAATTTTGTTACTAGATTTTTTAATCCGACATAATTTATTATCAAACCGCTGTTTTGTGGAACCGACTCCCAAGAGGATGCTTCCCCGAATACTATAGTCTTAAGCTGTTCAAGTCTAGGGTCAACCGTTATCTGCCCCATATGTATCCATAAACCGTGCTTCTTACTTTGTAACCTCTACCTCGAGTGGTTCCTTGGCCTAATACAGTGTGAAGATAATTGTAAAAAAAACAACAACATTAGAAACAAGAAGTAATTTTGAATATTTATAATTTACTTTTAAGATAGTGAAGCAGTTCATGTATTTATGAAATAATATTTGTAAAAAATGATTAAAAAATGATTAAATATATATATATATATATATATATATATATATATATATATATATATATATATATATATATATATATATATATATATATAATTTAAATGGTATTTTTAGTGGATACCCATATTTGAGTAGATACTCTGTTTATTTATTAAAGAGTATGCTTATTTATTTACATATTCTTGTATTGTGTGCCATGTCCTTCGGACCTAGGCGATCATGTCCCTCCACATCTTTCTATCACGCTATTATATATATATATATATATATATATATATATATATATATATATATGCATGTTTCATTAAAAACGACAGACAAGTTACTACGGTTGAGCTTTTTATTTAATTTTTCTTGTGTTCTGACAAGAGCTTTCTTTTTCTGGACGAAGAGTGTGTAAGAACTGTCGAATGTTCTGTATTTCCGAGCGCTTTCGGCTATACCTTTAGCCATTATCAAGGATGATTCAATTATCAGCTTAGTAGAGTGTGTGTGTTCTGTGTATGTTCAGTGTGTGGTAGTGATGTTTTAGTTTCGAATACGGTTAGCACATTGTGGCTTTGTTCATAGTTAATATTGTTAAGAGTTGGCTTTTTCTTTTTTTATTATTAGAGCTTCCATTATTTTTTAGTCTTTTTTTTTGCAAGTGGATGCAGTTAATATATTTATGTTTCTACTAGTATGTTCCTAATAGTGTCGGGTAAATCTGAGTGTGTGTTTAAATGTGTTCTGATGGAACTGTGATCAGATAGGTGTAATGTAAGACGTCTGGATAAACATGTGGTTGTGTAGCCGATGTAATTATTTATGAGTCCGGTTTGGTGAGGAACGCAGTTCCTTAAAGGCATTGAACTCATAGATAATGTTTGTTCTTTGTAATTTTGACTTAGTTGGTGTGTTGTTATTTTTGAGGATAAGGTTGGCCGTCTTAATTTTTTATAATAGATAATAAGTTTGATTTTTTTATTAGGATCAATAGGAGTAGTATATTTCTTTATAATATGTCTTAGAAGATTCATCTTGTTTGTAATTAATATGCATTTGGTTTTTTTGTAATAAATGTGTATGTGATTTTTAGTTGTGTGTTCGCTATCGTTATTACTTGCTTTGGGGAGGAATAGTCTAATTTGTTTGTCTATAAGGTAGTTAGGGAAACCGTTGTTAATTAGTGTTTGTTTAACGTTGTTAAGTTCTTTGAGAAAAAGAGTAGTCGAGAGGATGAGTTCTGGTGGGCTCTATTTAGAAAGTTTTTTACTACGGCTATTTTGTACCTAAGTGGGCATTCGCTTTTTGAAATTAAGGTGGAACGAGTTTTTGCTGGTGGGTTTTTGTATAATGATGTAATGAAAGTGTTATTGTTGTGTTCAACGAGGATATCTAAGAATGGTAGTTTGTTTTTTTGGCTAAGTTCATATGTGAAATTAAGGACGGAGTTTTTTCTCAAATGTGGTCTTAAGTGTCTCTATTTCTTTAATGTTATCAGCTAAAATGAAGATATCGTCTACGTAGCGAACATAGATTTTCGGTTTGTGGACCTGTGTAAATATAGTATTTTCTACGTAGGACATATAATAGTTGGAGAAGCATGGACAGTGGATTTCCCATACTAACACCATTAGTTTGGGTATAAATATTGCCATTATGGTCATAGAAGGGGACTTTGGTTGTGCATGCATGTAGTAATTTTTTTAGGATGGGTGGTTTGATGAATGGCGGAGGGATGGAATTATTATTGTATACGGAGTTGAGGATAATATCGATAGTTTGGTCGACAGGGACGTTTGTAAATAAGTTTTCAACGTCCAGTGACGCTATTATACCTTGATTTGTTCCTTTTTGTAGTTTTTAAAATTTGTAGGAATTCGTGGGTGGAGGTGATGCTGTAATTGGTGTAGGTAGGTATGGAGTGATGATGTCGTTAAGGAATTTTGATAGCTCGTAGATAGGTGTTGGTATCTGAAATAATTGGTCGTAGTGGGTATC